GTGTAAAAGTTAGGGTCTTTAACATTCACAAAGCTTAATTGCACTTAAGTATTTTATATTTTCCTCTACTTTACACTTATATATCTTATTTATTTTTTATAGCACTTATATACCATAAAGTCTTTAAAACTTACACTCATATAGCTTCTGTTTTTTTTGGCAGCACTTTCGTAGCCTCACTTTCCTTGGGTTCCTACTTTGTGAAATCAACTTGAACCAATGAACCCTCATACTATATATATATATCTTCCGCGTGATAATATGAAAATGTTTATTTTTCCCACTCAACGGCCTTCTTCGTTAAGCTTATTTTTGCAGATACATGCACTTTCATTATTATAGAAATATTATATCTTGTGTATATTTTACTAGCACTTAATACAGAGATTATACACGCAATTAGACTTTCCTTTATGAGTTTTATACGTGAGCTATTGCGCACCTTCAAAATTCAACACACGATACGTTGATCATGACAAACATGAACCAGTGGCTTCTCTTGTCTCGTTCACATGCCCTACTTCCTCTCTCCTCAACCTCTCTCCTTTATCATCAGAAAAAAAAAAGACATTTGCTCAAGTCTTCTTCAATTGATGAGGCAACAAATGGAGGGGGGGTCAAATTCAAGAGACAGGGAAACTTTACTCTCTTGATTAAAGAAGGGTTCAAATTAAGTAGTACTCTGAAAATGGATCCTAAGAATCTAACTATGCTTGTGTGGACCTAAATAAAGTGCACAGTTTTAAGCCAAATGCCTTGTTATTTGTAAAAGGGGCCCCCTCGGGTTTTCACTAAAATGTCCTCAAGCTCCAGTGCTGATGGAATGTTCACATTCATTCTCTTACCGAGCTAAAAGCCGATGTGGGACTCAACTCGACTATCCTCATTGACTAAAGCTGCTGACGAAATCTAAAGCTTTTCTTGGTTTCTTCTGCATTGCTCCATGCCTTCTCGTGTGGTTGGAACAATTCAACAAGGTTTTAATAATTAATAATAATAGTAGTAATAATAATAATTAATAAATGTAATATATAATAGTATCATCCTCCTAGAAGTATCAATAGGCATAAATCTGTGACGTTAGCTACTAGTTTTAATTCTTCGGCTATCAGCAGTTCCTATATTGCCCAGGGAAAAGTAGACTACTGGTTCAAGTCCTAAAAAAATTATAGCATACTCATTGTCGTAGGAGAGGATTTCCTCCTTGACTCCTTATCGTCTATGTGGCACAATCCCCACCATCCTCATAAAGTAGGAGAGAGAGCGTGTGAGGTGAGTATTTGTGCCTATTTCATGAGGATGGTGGGGATTGTGCCACATAGGCGACAATGAGGAAAATCCCCTCCTATGATAAGGATGGTGGGGATTTCCTCCTTGACGCCTCTAAAATCACATGATTGAGTGACATTATGGACGATCCGTTCCGTTGAACTTGATCTACATATTCTAAAACCCCAACACACCAAGTTTGGGGTGAACCCGTCGTCGTTTGACCCTCCATCGAGCCATGTGAAAAGTTCTATTCATTCAAAACCGTTAAAATTGATACGAGTGGATGAAGGGTCAAACGACGACGGGTTCACCCCAAACTTGGTGTGTTGGGGGTTTAGAATATGTAGATCAAGTTCAACGGAGCGGATCATCCACAATGTCCAAAAAAAAATCCCCTAATTGATTAATAGATGTAATGATTATATAGAATTAGTAAATGATCAATATACTCATTGGATAAACAACAAGTGATTAAAACCTAAGGTTTCATAAAATAACACATAAACCCCTCCACTCGACATGTAAACTAAATGAGGGCGAAGCTTCAGTGTAGATCGATCATAGCGACGTGGGAAAATCCTCCCCCTTGTTTATAGAATCACGTACAGTCCTGATTAGCAATTGGCTATGAGATGAAAAATATCGGAAAATTTTACCGTATTAATCATGAAACAGATAGAAAGAAGAAGGCCTTGAGTTGAGGTAGCTCAGATCTTTTAGGGTTATAGCAAGAAAGCTACAGTCAAGGCTTCTTCTTTGTTGTTCCATGTGCTTCCTCTGCAACGGTGAAGGGATTCTTATTTTCTAGGGTAAATGCTGGCTAAGGAATTCACTGAGGTACAATAATACAGGGCAGCGGCCTCACCAGATTTAGAAGCTACTTAATGAGGAAGCTTTCCAGTGGAAAGCATTTATTTACATGGTGTTCAAAAGAAAGAATCCACTTAAAATTTTTCCATAAATAAATAAATAAATGACAAAAAAGCTTATTGGACTAATGAACGATACTGGAAACTTTCTCGGGTATATTTGAAAAAAAAAAACTCATGTACATCGTAATTTGCTTTACCTTTGACCAAAAGGGTTCTCATCCTTCGAAATACCATGAGCGTGCGATGGACTCTAGCAGAAACTTCGCCCGGTGGAGGGGGGTAAAACGCAATAAGCTCGGGCATTTTTTACATAACTCCAAACACTTGCAAAATTAACATGGTTAGGTCTAGCATAACACACGCAAACCAGTGCGGTCAAATGACTAAACTGCCCCGAAACTTTTCACACTGTTTTCAGAAAACCTCCATGTATGTGCACATTGTTTTCACTAAACAGTCAACATAGAGCAGTGATAATTTTGGACGTTGGAATGTTGGGTAGACCACTTCTTAGATCATAATTGTCTGGCATTTAACGGATGGTTATTATATCCGAAAGTGGAAGCGGAAATTAGTCTATTTATATAGAGGTTCTAATAAAAACCTCCTTAGCCTAAAAACTAAAAACCAATATCATCCAATGGCTAGGATTCAGTCAACAGACACATGTATTAATTACCTCATTAAACACATGCATTAATTACCTCAACGCAGTGAATCCAGATTCACTACAATGATTCCAGATTCATTACCTCAACGAACACGTCCTTCACTACAGTGAATCCAGATTCACTGCAGTGACGAACACGTTTTTCACTGTAGTGAATACAGATTCACTGCAGTGAATACAGATTCACTGCAGTGAATCCAGATTCACTGCAGTGAATCCAGATTCACTGCAGTGAATCCAGATTCACTATATTTGATGGAATATTGTTAGTTATATTAACCAACGAAATATTAATTATCAGACAGTAAAGTCTGTGAACGTGTCTGAATAATATAACAAATGGCGATGGTGAGGATCTAAATTTGTGGTCTAAATTCCATGCTTGAGCTCAGCAAATGTCATCAGGAACCGAAGAATGAAGCTTGTAATGCAGTTTAACAAAGATTTCACTGTAAGTTGCACTCGTCAACCTAACAACTTCCTTTTGGCAAGTGGAGTTAGCTCTAGCGTTATAATAACTCTTGCCAAACGCCAATAAAAGTACAAGAGCATGCAAATATACCAAACCTCTTTGCTCTCGCTCCCCAACTCTCGTTGCCAAATGATGCTTTAAATGTGTTTTTCTACGGCAAGAGGTAGTTCTGTTCATTTGCCCTCACAAGTATTTCATATTGTACTTGATGGGGGGGAACCGCTGCTTTGTTCTTGGTCATTAGGTAAAGGGAACGAAATTCTGTTTGAATAAATTTTGTTTTGAACACAATCATATATGCAAATTATTAGTTTAATTAGATTAGCTCAAATTTACAATCCCTCCAATTTCCACTGAGAATGGTTCCTTACTCTTTATGACCACTTGGATAATCATGAGAGCATTTCATACTTTGAAACTCTTATAAGGAGAACATTTCCTAGGTTACTATCAGAGTATCAAAAGAAGAAACAGAAATTTAAGAGATTGCAGAAGTTGGTTCATTCCTCCTCCCAGTGTAAGAAAGGCTGCGTTGGAGACCTCTACATTGCTCATCTAGAAATCTATACGAATATTACCGCAGTAGATGCTCGCTTGTTAGATGCGAAAGATGTCCTTAATGTCCTTAGGAATCGTGAGGGTTTATGGTCTTCATGTCGAAGAAGAATGGAACGAGATATATATAATAGGACCACAAACTCTTGCAGAAAATCCTATCCTGATTCCATACTAAATACTGCCTTGCCGCGCCTTCCATGTCATTTGTATGTTGGCCTGTATCTTCCGAGGACCGAAGGTTTATTAAAATCTAGTTCTCTTATAGTTCAGTAGATTATTATCAAGTCGCTTGATAGAATTACATATAGCTCTCTAAGAAACTCATGCTATGTTTCGACAAACAGAATTAAAAAGCAGTCACGACTAGGATGGATAGTTGCATCATGATACTCAAAGAATTACCTGACATAAATACGCGATGGTCATTCTTCAGGTTTCTCGTTCTCCAGTGGTTTTGAAGAATTATTGTACAGGGCGTCAGCACGAGCAGCGACAGTTGTGCTGGAGTGCTGCGACATAGGAAAGCACTAACTTCAGCAGATGTGGACAGAAAATAGTGAAGAGTTAAAATGTTAGGTTGCCGCCATTGATTTCGAGATGTACTATATTGTGAACAACTTAAGTAGGTATACATAGAGTAACAGGAAGATGGAAGAGTACCCTCTCAGTATTACCCCTTCAGTTACCCTCTCAGCATTACCCCCTCAGTGATATACATGTGTGGCACTGTGGCTCCTACTCTTCAGTTTTACAGCAAATTACGTGATTGTGTTGAACGATATGCTCCCTACGATGCATCACAAGCAGATTCCATCTTGGAAATTCTTTACATTTAAGCAAAAAATTAGGGAAGAAACTGTGGATGTCTCTATGTTTATGTTAAGTATAAGATATTTGTAATGATCGTGCCTGCCTCAACTTACATTTTCGAAAATAAATAACAGCAATTCAATTGATAATGTGAGATGCATATACACTAGGGATGATCCTCGCTAGGGTCCGTTCCCTGACAATAATGCCACTCAAAAGAGAAACAGGCAATATCCATTCAAACCAGGACATCATTTTGATAAGAAATGTTTAAAAAAGAAGACTAGTTTCCATTATTGAAACGGTTTCTACCATTTTATATCAAGCAAAGACAGCCATCAATGGATCGCAAAATACAATTTTCCAAAAGTTCATTACACCGGAATCTTTCTTTTGAAGACATGATTCATCAACTTGAAGATAAAAATATTCCATTCAGTTATCAACAGAACAAGATGGTCAGCACACAGAAAGTTTATCGGTGGACTGACAAAGAAACAAATTGAAGTTCCATGTACATGATAAATAACTTACAGTATATCTTAATGACAGTAAACAAATCAACAGAATATACACAATCTAACAAAACTCAGGGAGTCTGCCAGATGATGATCCGCTCCTGTCCTGGTTGAACTTGAAACCCATATTTCCCCAGTGTCAAGCAGGCATTTTTTTCTCCAACTGATAGCATCATTTGTGGATGAATCACTCTCAGCATTATTTTGAGTGCTTAGACTTTCTATCATCATCGTCACTTTCTAGACCCTGCCAAGCACAATAAACTTTACTATTAAGCTTACAGCCTCCAGGTTACAATCTTTCCTATTTTTAGCAAAAACAGTTGAGCACTGTCTGTGTCCATCTTCCTAGGGAAAGTATGGGAAAGGATTCACAATTATTTAAAGAAAGAATTGAAAAGGAACAGCATTCAGAGTAGTGTTTATAAGTGTTTATAAGTGCCCATTAGTACAGCGCTATTGGAAAACTGGATATGAACATTTGCTCAAATGAGACAACAGTAGAAATACACGGAACTAGCAGTGTATTATCTTACCTGTTTATTTATCTTTCCTATCACTTTATATGCCAAAAACACAGCTCGAAGCAAGTAAAAAAGAGTTGGTACAACGCTTGCTAAGTTTTACACTGAAAAAATCTTAATAAAATGTGGTCATAAAATATGCAAATTTTAGCGCATACTATAGATGATACCCGAAAAGTCAAGTAGGAAGTCAGATGGCAATTGGCAGCGTTGCTGTGAATAAAGAAATTGAAATGGAAGATTGTAAATATGTTAAAGCAAAAACGAATTGCTAAACTGCATATTTGCTCCAACACAGGGCACAAAGCTAAAAAAGTTGTAGGCAGGCACTACGGCAACAAATTGTGTGCATAATAGGAAAGATTATGGTAACTTAAAATGCCAAAAGAAAAGTTGTCAACTAAGATCTAAGGAAGTAATTGAATTACATATCTTCAGGTTATTTTAAGTAGCTTAAAAGTAGGTAGATGGAACCCTCTAATTTAAAGGATCAGGTTTATCTCTAAGTGGAATGACAACTCTTATCTGTAATGAGCAGAGGTTCAATTGAGCTTTGACTCTTTTCTTATCTTTATCTCTTGCAGCTGCGGCGCCGGCAGAAGAAAAAAAAAGGGTCAGCGGTCCGGCAATCTTAGCAAATATTAGTGGTGATGTAACTACCCCCAAAGCATGGTCCCATCTCGGGTATTGATTGAGAAATTGAATGATTTATAATGTAAGTCTAAGGATTCAAGTGCAACATTGACTAGTCATTTTTGGCAATGGATTGAGCCAAACCATGTATTACACTCAGTGGACCTAGAGCTTACATCGCGCCAACAGGCTCGCGGGCCCCGGGCATGACAGGGAATGTCAATGAATGGCAGAATAAAATCCCACAATACTAAATTAATATAGTGATTTAGTTTCAAGATTCCATATCATGACATTAAAGCATGCTTTAATTTCATTAACTGAAGAGACATGGGACTAAAAGAACGAAAGAAATTTTTCTTGGGCTTAAAATAATTCAGAGTTTCTTAGATAGATACAACATACTGATCATTTTATGTCTTCTGTTAGCAGTTTTAGTATATAGGAAACCACCCTTGCTAGGCAATCGGAATTCAGAGAGGCACTTGATGGACAAATTTTCAAAACCGACCTATTTGGGTTTTTAATTGCAAAAAACGACCCATTTCAATCTTATTTATAAAAACCGACCCAGTTGGTTGGAACTGGATCGGTTTTTGAAATTTTTTTTCCCAAACTTCACGGGAGTTCAACTCCCGTGAAGTTTTGTTATGAGAAAAACTTCACGGGAGTTCAACTCCCGTGATGTTTCCCAAAAAAATTAAAAAAAACCGACCTGTTTTCAGCCCCTGGCTAAAAACAGGTCGGTTTTTGTAAATATTTTCAAAACCGGTCGTTTTTTGCAATTAAAAACCCAAAGGGGTCGGTTTTGAAAATTTGTCCGGCACTTGATAGGTTAACAGGAGCAGGACATAGGTTGTTTTTAAAGTTCATTTACAACAACAAGGTTTTCTGTAATTATAATTTACCCAAAAAATCCAAAAAAAAAAAAGTTTCAAGTGTTTTGGGCAGGCTACATAAAAATTTTTAGACGCCCACTAAAAGGCCAATTATTCTGATTGAAAGATTCTACATACCACTAGGAGAATCAATTGAAACTAAGATGGAGGAGGCATCAAGGTTCAAGTCTCATTTTTCTTGTTTTCTTTTAATCTACATGGCAAGGAAATGCACACCAATACATTTCTAGGACGCATATCTGAACACGCACCAAAACAGTCGATGTTTTCCCTATTAGACCCAGCTGATTTCTAGAATGTTTTCAGAGATATGAATGTTGGCTGTCTTCATATGAAAAAAGAAGCTGCTCAAGTACAACCAGAACTAATTTCCATACAACTTCCAACCTATTTAATATTTGTAAGTGGTAGGTCAATTTTTTCATAAATTATTTGAACATTTATTTCCTAGCAAATATGGCGTCAAAGAGCTGTCAAATCAGGTCATTGTTCTTTAAACCTTTATCTCAAACAAAAGCAAACAATACCATAAACCATATTCCATATATGCCGAGCAGAAAATCTTAGGCTTGAATCGAAACCATCACTTGTGTATGTTGGTATCTCTGAGTGTGTGGGAGTGCATGCACATGTGTGAGTGCGGGTGTACATGTGTATGTGTATGTACTTGTACATGGATGTTTACAAGTATGTGTGTTGTGTTTTCCCAATTAAAGCTAACAGAATCAGCAATAGAAGCATTGATATTGTCTTTAATACCTGATTGGTAACTTGGAAACAAAAATATCTATATTTGTACATGTCCATTAAAGTAAATATTAACACACCAAGATCTTATTAGTTTTCAGTCCTGTGATGACATTTCAAAAGGTAAGAAGGTGTAACATGCTTACCGAGTTGCTTTCAATCTTATCAAAATCATCATCAAAACCATCATCACCATCATCTGAAATGAAGCATACAGCAAATAAATATAATGTAATCATTTTTGTATTGAACAAACTTTCTCAGAAACAATACTTCAGTTGAAGAACCATTATTCATGTAATCATGCACTGGGTGCATAAACAGTTGAAAATAAACACCATACCTGGACCCTCATCATCAGTACCAATATCTCCAAGAAGAAACACATCCAAGTCATGCTCTGCAGTTGAAGTCCTACTTTGCAAGATTGCTCCTTTCGTTTCTTCTGCAGGGTTTGGAGCTGGAGTTGAGTTCTCTTTGACCCCATCCTTTTGTGTTCTTTCTACTGATTCCACTTTTAGGTTTTCCATATACTGCTTTTCATAACTGAGCATAAAGAGAGGGATCAAGTTACAAGTTACCTAAAGATTTGAGATTGAACATGTCTAGCACCCTGTAAAAAGAAAAATCTTCAAAGTAATAGTGTATATGTGATCCATAACTGCTAGTCATATGACTCATATCGTAACATCATTGAAATCTAAGTAGTTTCAACATGGTTAAAGAAGTTTATTACAAAAAGCATAAAAGTGGAAGTTACAGCGCATCCAGTAACATGATTCAACTAATCTGACAGGTTTATGTTATTCAAAAAAATGCTTTCACTTGCAAAGCACATCATTAATCATGATAGAGAAATAAATCGACCATGTTGCTGATCAAGTAAGATGCAACCAGCAGCAGGGTCCATATCAATTTAAAAACAGAATGCATTCTTGAAAGAAAAAGAAAGGTGTTCTACCAGTGCTGTGCAAGGTTTGGGAGTCAACTTTAGCAATTATTAAATGGATGCTACAGGCATCATAAAAAAGCTACATCTACATAAGAGTTCGAGACTTACGGAGCCACATAATTGTTAACAAGTATGAAATATATCCGCCAGAATTTTCGCTCTTTCATGTATCGTGGGCACAGCTCATATCTAAATTTTGATATTTCCTGCAGCATGAAATTAGTGTTTAGGTAACAGGACCTAAATAAGACTTCACTGTACTAACAAAACCACACAACATATAATTAATCATAGGATCATGCACAGCAAGAGTAAGACGTGCTTTTCATGCTGTTATGGTTTCTATCCAGTGTTTTAAATGTCGTCCGACATGTCGGATTTAGGGGTCAACCGTCATGATATGGAGTTTTTTAATACGTATTACGTTTTCAAGGTTCATATCAGATATATCGAGGGATATGTCAGATATGTTGAGCGAATATATCGGGTGATATGTCAGTTATGTCGACCGATTTTTCGGTCTGAAAAATTGGCTGATTTTTTTTATTTTTTTGGTTATGTTTGTCAAATCATGTTTGAGTTTAAATTCTTGATTGTCTTAATATTAATTCCAAAGACACAAACTGATAAGTTAAGGGAAATGGAAAAAAAGACCGAAGTAATATCTGTCGCTCATCTTCTCTCTCTCCTTCAACATCTCATTGGTATCTTCTCCGAGCTATTCCTTCGACATCAATATCGAGCGATCTTCTCTCTTCTTAACCGCTAATATCGGATTTCTCACATCTTTCCTTCAACATCAACCTTAAGCATCATAAGTTATTTACTCTTTTATATGTTTAGACATTAGAATTTTTTAGGTCTATTTAGATGCTATTTATGATATATATTACACACATGCACACCATACGTTATGACAATCCGATATTTTTTTCATGTCTCCCGACATATCCCCGATTTCCACTATCTGATATGAATTTTAGCCGTCCGACATGAACCCGACATCCAACATTTAAAACCTTGTTTCTATCAGAAACAATTCACACATCCTATATAGTTCAAGCACCAATATGAATATAGATAGTAACATACACTTATACAGTGCTCTACATAAGTGGATAGGAGGAAGAATAAAATATTTGATTGATAGATTCAACTTATCAATAACAATAGTATGCAAGATTAAAAAAAGAATCAATTTGATGAATTAGATAGAATTTTACATAATGAGGTCAATCAAGATAATTTTAGAATATTCTGACTATTAAATTTTTCGGCTTGTGATTTTTATATCATGTAAAGATTCGCAGTCCGTCCAGTTTATGAAATTATAGTTCTCTACACTGAAATATATTTTGGCAGAAGGGCACTAGGAAGCAAAGTGACCATGGGACTTTCCCTTCAGCAGAGTTCTCATTTACCGCCAAAACTGTTGAGTTCTTTCGAAAAGTAAGGATTATTCCTCATCAATCTTCCATAGTTGTTTTCTTTTTGTTTTTGTTACATATGTAAAACAGAGCCAAGCCAAAGCACTCTGTCTAAAAGACTTAACACATGCCAGAAAGACAATACACTACACACTATAAATTCTAGAAGTACCATCAATGCCTTTTAACTAAAATAAGTAGTTAAAAATAATTTGTGATCTCAAGCCTATGAATACAAAACATACAGTCACAGAAAAAATATACAATATTACAAACAAGAGCCTGAGGCTCTGAGCGCATGAAAGATAAATCAAAAAGGCATTTCCTTCAATTTGAAAATTGAACAACACACTTGGCTTACTTAAAACACACATCCTTGACAACCTGAGCATTTACTGTATCATGACAACTCGACAAATTGCAGATGCATGAAAGTTTGAGCTAAAAAGTACCTAAATTTTGTCATTTACTTGACATTTCTGCTAACTATTATTCCGATATTCTGATGGATCAATCATTAATTACTAAGGAACCCAAAACAAAAATGGCTGTTCACAGCATGAGTTCTATCTTAAGTCTCAACATCATATAATACGAAGTTGATTATGCTGGTTCTAGTTCCATTATTTTTGAAAACCAGATAAATAAACTCTGGTAGATCTATCAAATATGATCATACAAGGATATATTATAGTGTCAGAGAAGTGCGATAAGAACAATGCATATAATGACATGCATTCCTCTTCTACTCCCCCCCCTACTTTTTCTACCTTATTTTGGTCAATACTCTTGCTATTTTGATCGGTACTCTTGCTACATCACAAACAGTTTCATTCCTTATATGCCTTATATGGGTTCCTAAAACATATCCACATAACATTGTTAAATTAAGAAGAAGACACATCTTCAATGAGATTCAATAATACAAATAAGCGTAACTAACAACTATAGAGTCAGAAGTAGACATGCATACACATACACAAAGAAGTAGTAGTTACTAGTTAAAAGGCATATAATAACAGAAAATACCTTCACAGTTGAGAGAACAAGTGTAGCATGCCTTGCTTGCCATTCATTAAGATCCTGCCGCACATTCGACACTGTTGGGACCTCAGATATCTCAGGTTCATCTATACTCAGAAACCATAAAAGAAGAGAAATTTAGCAAAGTGAAAAACGGAAGCAAAGCCTCTCTACGTCTGACCTACAAGCCAATAGCGAAAATCTACTCTGGAGAAAAAAAAAGATTGAATATGGAAATTCGCAAGTTAAAATAATGACCATTAACACTATTCATATTTTCACTACATCAAACTGGAGCAATAGAAGACACCAAAATGTGTTTGAATTTATATAATCTTAACATTCTAGAAAGGAAGTGTACAAAGTTCACTACATGAAGAGCGTGACAATGGATAATTCAATATAATTTTGTGAGCTCTATCATGCCACATTTAGAATTTTGATCTTATTGCCAGCAAGATTTGGACCTTAATTCTCAACGCAAAATTGCAGTCTAATTGAAATGTCAATCCTCCAAGATTGATCTTGCCACATCAACAATACTAGGAAAAGAGAGAGTAAACCTCAAAAGTGTCTAGATCCAGTGAAATTCACCAAATATATGCTTTAAAGTTATGCATGACATTTTAAGCAGAGACCGCCATTATTCTAGCAAAAACAGTTAAAGGCTGCTCCTATAATAATACCCAAGTTTACTTCTAATGATAAACTTTGCACGCACATCAAACAGAAAATTCACAGAATCAAACAGAAGCAAATGAGACAACCTAAAAGAGGGGGGGAAAACGAGTAACTGTGAAAAGAATCGGCACCCTCCAATCTATGACAACATCACACTGTATCATGCACTTTGTTCAGATTATCCCTCTCCATGGAAAGCCAGAAAGTCAAGGTAAAATGCATAGCTTCTCTGTATAAGATGAAAAGCCCTATGGGAAGATGAAGCCATGAATCACATACAAACTCATGTTTTCTTGTTGGAAAATGGAGATTAGTAAACCCTCGAGAACAATAGAGTCAAAACCTGAAGGTGCATGCATGGTTAATTTCAAGCCTAAATGCCTGTTCCCCCAGGCATTCTAAAATAAATAAATTCAACAACAACTAAAAAAAATCTAGATAGCGAAAATGTCAAAAAGAAATCACCTTCCATAGGGAAATCCCGGAAAGTACAGATCGTAATCCCCTTAACAAACTCCCTCAGCTCATCAGAAACCCCAAACCTCTCCAAGTCCGCAGCCGGGATCTCCTCCGCCGCCGCCCCCTGCGACGCCGAGGGCGCCAACGGCGGGATCTGGATCGGGATCTCGATTTCACCGGCGAGGCTCTTGATCTGATCCGCGCGCTTCAAGGCCTCGATCTTGATCAGATCCGCTTTCCTCGACGCCTCAGCGGCGAGCTCCTTGGACTTCTTGGCCGTCTCGGAGACGAACTCCTGAGAGAATTTGGCTGCGCCCTGGGTGAGCTCTTGAGATCTCTTGGCTGCTTCCTTCGAGATCTCCTGCGATTTCTTGGCTGCCTCCTCGGCGAACACGCGAGCTCGCTGCCAAAAATCCATGGCGGATGTTGGAGAGAGCGTTGAGAGTTGGGTTTCTTCGTGAAAATGGATGGATGGATTAGTTACTGACAGAGAAAAGGAAGCAAAAAGAGTGAGTATGAAGAAAATGGGAGATTCATACCTGGTTGACTCGGAGCGTCATAGACGGCGCATTTTAGTCGATGGCGTGGCTAACTTGAACGGAGGTATTTGCTGAGTCTGAGTTCGAGTCCGAGTCCGAGTCCGAGTCCGAAACGCGGAAGCCACTTCAAAATTGGCTGTGGAAGCGCTTACGTTTGATCACATATTTCAAATAACTAGTATGGCCCACGTCGTTACGCGTATAATCATTTTCATATTTAACTAACTTTAATTAGCGTGCACTGACTTTTTATTTTTTTAAACCGCTGCAATTTGAACTTGTCTCACCTTAAGTTTTATATTTAATTTCATTATTTTATGTTTACAATTAGAAATCATATCTACTCCTCTATACTTAAAAGAATGATTCAAATTTAAATACATTTAATTTAGAAATAATATCTACTCCATCCAAGTTTTAATATATCTAATTTGCTTTAATATTTATAACACATTAAAGTACTGTAGTATGAATAGTAATTTTAAGTATGGAGGATCATATTTGATTTAATGTTATCACTATAGCATGAACAGTAACCTCGGGTGCAAAGGAACAGATTTGATATCATGTTCATGCTACAGGATTTACTGTAGCATAAATAGTATGCCTTTAGATTCTCCTTTTAAGTATAAAGGAGTGAGTAGATAGACATGTCCATCCGGGTCGGTCCGGCCCGGAAAACCAGGCCCGGGCCGAGCAAAACCAGAGTCAGGACCCGGGCCTGACCGGACCGGCCCGGGTTTTTTGTTTTTAAAAAAAATAAAGATCTCTTTAAAATTTAAAATATACATAAAAATTATAGAAAATAAAAATAATCATATTATTAATAACTTGAAATGACATAAATTACAAATACAAAAAAATTATAAAAATAAAAGATGATAAAAATAACTTTTTTTATTAATAATCAGTAAATCTTTTACAAGTATAAATTTATTTCGGAATTCGTCGCATCACAATAGATGAGTACATCCCAACTAGGTTGACACCTACTCACCTATATCACTATCATTTACAAAAAATTATAAAAATAAAAGATGATAAAAATAACTTTTTTTATTAATAATCAGTAAATCTTTTACAAGTATAAATTTATTTCGGAATTCGTCGCATCACAATAGATGAGTACATCTCAACTAGGTTGTCACCTACTCACCTATATCACTATCATTTGCAACTGTTTATAAAATAATTCATTACAAATTTAAAACTAAGAAATAAAAAATATAATTTGATGACTATTGTTTAATCTTTATATTTATCTGCTAGTCCCAACACTTCAAATTTATCTTCAATTCCAGCCATCTGATCGATGCCTTACGTTCGCTTCTCGTACCTCCACCAATCTTATAAACACATTACCGCTTGTACAGTATACGGATCTAAGCATGTCTTGTGGTCGTCGATCAAACGTCCTGCTGTGCTGAAGGCGGATTCCGAAGCTACCGTCAAAACCTGCACTGTTAGTAAGTCACAAACCATAGTGAAAGTATAGGATATGAAAATGATCCATATACTCTCCACCATTACAAAATATCTAAAGCATTTCTTTGACATTTAACTAAAGAAGCAGATAAATATTCATCTATTTCAGAAACCTCCAACGATGATCCAAGTCCAGACCCACCAATTAGCTCAGCTACCATTGCATGCCTATCAAAACTTACACTTTTACCTCGGCTTGAGCTCGAAGGCGCCGAAACTGTAGACTGTTGTGCAACTACACCATGTCTAGCTGCGTACTCATCATATAAGGTTTAAAAATAATTTCTAATAGCTAAATGATGAGAAGTAGCAGTAATGCTGGATCCATCATCTAAGTCTATAACATGTCCACTATACAATGATTATAACAAACTTCGAAGGCCAATATCCTTCAAACATGGATCAATAAGAACCCCAAACCAAAAATATGATGAATAGACCTAAAATACTTATTAAATTTGCTCTCCATTTGAAAAATTATACTTCCAAAAGTATCATTCATACGATATTTGTTAAAAAAAAAATTAAATATTTAAAATTTGTAAAGCAGCTAAAGTAATAGTTGGATAATAATAACCAGATAATAACATAGTAGCATCATAAAAACTTATAACATCTCATTTAAATTACATATAATTGTCCATTCATCTTCAGTTATTCCATAAGAGCTACTAGAGCTATAACTAAAATCAAAATAATTTATAATTTCTTTATATTCTATAGCTACACTTAACATTGCATAGGTGGAATTCCACCTATGGTCAACATCTTTTGGAATTAGTCTAGCCTTAATATTTTTCTTTTACACATTTGTTTTCGTCTTTTAAGTCTTTGTTCAGAAGCAGTATGCATATAAGCAACGGTTCTAACTTTTTCTATCATGGGTTTAATTTCAGTAAATGTACTTTAAACAATTAAATTTAAAATATGGCATATACATCTAATATGAAAAAGTTCACCGTGACAGGACAATGACAGAGTTATTTTGAGAAAATGTACAGCTATATTGTTATTACTTGTATTATCTAGTGAAAGAGAAAATATTCTTTGATCAATTTCTAGTTTCATAAGTTCTTTGACTATTAAATTGGCTACATTAATACCAGTATGTGACTCTTCAATTACAATAAAAGAAACAACTCTTTTAAATATTTGTTAATTTTTATCAATCCAGTGTGCTGTGATACATAAATAACATGTTTGTGCTCTAGATGTCCAAATATCAGAAGTTAAAGAAAATTTATAATTTAAATTTTTAAAATAAGAAATTACTTTTTTTTCTTGTTCTGTTTGATAATGTTTTAAAATGTCACGTTGACAGGTTTGACAAGAAATTTTTTTAAAATCGGGATAAAAACCATCTCTAAACAAATCTTCAAATTCATCATCTTCTACTAATTTAAAAGGAAGGTTTTTAAGTATGATAAACCTGATGACGCATTTCCTAGCTCGGGCAGCGTCATAATTCCAAGTACCGAGACTACTAGAAGAGGATGATTGGAAAATCATAGATTATCGGATATCACCTTGAGGAGTCTGGCCTTTGTTGTGTTTTTCTATATGGCGTTTAAGCTGGTTGGTGTCGCTCTTATGATAAGCTTGGAAAGTCTGACCGCACAACGCACATTTAGCCTTCTGGGTAAGGATCCTATCGTGTTCATTCTTGGTGGCGTCTATCTTCCCAAAAAATCCACACATCGGATCTCGGCCTTTTGGGAGCTCTTGGTGCAGATTCGTCACCACTGGATTAGGGATTACCACTGGTAGGATCGGTAGGAGTAGCTGTTGTTGTAGGAGGACTCATTTTAATATCGGTAGGGGATAGATTTTACTCTTCATAATCAGATCTAGAAGCAATTTGATGAAAGAATTAGAAAGTATAAGAGATTATAAGAGAGTATAAGATTGTATAAGAGAGTATTAGAGAGAAGTAGTGTAATGACCGTAAAATTTTAATACTAGTTATAATAAATTTTTGGTATTTTAAAATATTTAATTATGATCCGATTCCCTGGTATTTTGGGAAGCGGGGCGTGACAGGTTTTAGTGGTGGCCCATGCAGGTCACGGTCTTGATCATGGTCCCGAGTTCCTATTAGTGAGAATATAATGGGCAATTTAGATACATATCATATTTGATCCATGAGACTATTCTCAAACCCTTATCCTATTTCCTTGATAGATTTCGTTTCGTCCCTATCTTATCACTCTTTGACTCCGTAGTTTCCATGGTTCTTGTCCCATCGCTTCGCGATTACCCTCTCTTTGTATAACGTCTCTTTCCTAGTACTGGTCGTTATTTTATATGTTATTATTCTTACAACTATATTTTCCTTGATTTGACTTATATATCGTTTAATTGTATTGATTTCTGTATTGTTTATTATATTATTTTATGTATCACACATAGTGTTATATTATATATTTTTATTAATAAAAATATATATCATTACTTATATATTTTAATTATTCAAACCATGTTATTAAGTGTTTTGCATTGCTCTAGACTCCACATATACATCACATAGCATATCTGATATTCAGATTATTTTCTTGTGTTTAAATATATTTTTGCATATCTAAACTTGTGTATGTGTATGTTTCTTTGTCATATTATCTATTAATTACTTATGTTTAGATTATTGTATATTGTTCGTATTTCATGATATACTTTAATAGATTTATGATTTTAATATTCTACATATAGAGTATATTCTTATCATTTACATTTTCAGTATATAGTTTTTATCAGTAAGTTTTGCCTTGTTAGATTATTTTATTATGTTCGCATTGGTTTTGTTATTTCTAATAGCAATGTATTTTTATTTTGATATTCAAACAATTATTCATATTGTTAGGTTTGGATTGAGTTACTAATTATATAGTTTTGTTACATTATCTCGTACCATTGGTTATTAATCTTTTATTCCTAATATAAAAGATTTTTCTAAATAGCATTTATGAGTATGTAAAGTATTTATTCATGGTTTGTTTATAGTATAGTTGCATATTTGCTGTTGTTTGCTTAGTTTTTGATATGTATTATTTTAGCATTATAACAATATACATTGTATACACGTATTAATTTTTGTATTTATTTTATAGTATTTTTAGATATTTATGTCTTTTATTATATCATTGTTTGTTGTTCATTATCTATTCATTATTTTCGTTACTTGTGTTTTGTTTTACTTTTTCATTCTTTTATAATTACTATTCTTTTTATTATAAGTGTATTCACGTATATTATTATATTTACGATGTATATTTTTATTGACTTATAGTCCTTAATCATTTCTAGTATCAACCTTATCTAATCATGTTCTGTTTCATTTATTATCAATGTTTATGTTCACATGTTCATTAATCATTCATGATATATTTATCTAAAATTTATCGCTGTTTTTATACTAATATATGCCCTTCTTATGTTTTTATTTGTTTATATATCTATTTTATCTTTTATAATTTATGTTTTATGTATTATACATCA